TTCCGTCACGGAGAAACGCGTGGCGTGGCTTCAGAAGTCCAACCACTCGCTCATGTAGATGCAGTTGGACGGCGAGATCTCTCCGCCCTCGTGGCAGTCGTCGAACACCTGCGGAGAGGAGACGGGATGAGTTCGGCTGCCCTGACAGCGGCCCTGGGTATACGTGGGCGCAGCGCGTTACCGGGCAGAGTCCACAGGGCGTCTTGACGAGGCCGGTGGGCTGGATGATGGTGTTCACGCCGCGGTACAGCTTCATCTGCCCGTCCACGCTGCCCACCGTGCCCTCCTTGGCGGCAATCACGGTCATCTCCACCTTCCCGTCGTAGATGAGCGTGTTCAGGATGGTCTCAATGTCGTCCATAGACAGGTCCACCTGAGGAAACACGCACAGATAAATAGGTGCCGTCGACCCCGCCCTTTCACCTGACCAGGAAAGCAGATTGGCCAAAGATTAACTAAACCCCGCCTTAAACACCTGGACCAGGGGGCTGTTTACACGCAGGATGAGGTATGAAGTCTACGCTCCCGCCTCCTCAGGTAACGCTCACCTGCCTGAGCATCTGCGCCCAGCTGCTTCTAATGTGTTTCTAATGTGTGTGTGTGGCGTCTGCAGGTTAACGCTGCGCTGTGATTGGTGCGTCTGAGGTGTGACGTCACCTTGCTGATGCCCAGCTCGCAGATGTACTTCCAGACTTCGTGCGACGTGGCGAAGGAGCTGTTCCTCTGAACCATCGGACTCTGCTTGCTGTCCCGCGCCGCCTCCGCCTCGACGCAGGAAACACAACGAGGGTCACATGACGGTTCACACGCCCTATCCCCGCCTCAGAGCGCCGCTCTGCCTCCTCCTGTGGGCGCCGTTTGGACAATGAAATAAAGTTTTTTGTACCTTGCTCTGCAGGAACTTGAAGCACTGCTGGTTGAGAACCTCCACGAACTCGGACTCAAAGTCCTGGTCGCTGTACCAGGCGCCGCCCGTCACAGAGCGGTCGGGCTGCAGGTTGTACAGCATGTACACCTTCTTCTTCGACGCCTGCACAAATACGCCACCGGAGAGGAAGTATGACATCATCACCGTCAGCGTTTGTTTACAGGAAACACACGGAGACGTCGTGTCTTTCATTTTTATTTACTATTTATAGTTTCCAGATTTTTGCTGATTTACATATTTTACAGATGTTTGTCGTAAACATCTGTAAAATATATATAATTAGAATCAGAAGTTTTTTAATTTTTCCACATTTTAAGCTGATTTTTCTGCACATATTTAAATAAACGTTTACTCTTTCAGCAGCTAATGTTATTGATTATTGATCAGCGATAAGGCTGATACAGCCGATCATTGACGGACTCACGGCCACAGACTTCACAGCTTTGATGAGCTTCTTGCTCTCCAGGTTCTTCAGGATCTTGTTGATCTCGGTCAGAGGCAGGTTGCTCTTGAAGCGGATGTCTCGGCTCCAGATTCCTGCAGAGAGATGCAGACGTCACGGCGAGCCACGGCAGCGAGCCGAACGGGGACAGGAAGTACTCAGTTACCTTTGTTTCCTGCGTCCTCGATGATCTGATAGACCAGCTTCTCCTGGTTGTCTGAGCCCTTCATTTTACTGAGACAGAACATACAGGAAGCAGCTCAGACACCAGCAATCACCTGACAGGAAGTACACTCCTACACCTGTGTGTGTTTACCTGGTGCTCTGTGAGTCCTTCAGCCTGTACAGGAGACCTGCACTGTTCCTCAGCAGGTCCAGCTGACCCTGAAACAAACACCAGCTCATCAACCTGCTGTGCGCTCAGCACACACAGTAAAATAGAGCGAGTGACATCATCAGACTGACCAATGAGAGCAGCTTGTTGATGGCCATGGCTCTCTGCTGTGGCTCCAGGTGAGGCATGTCGTTCTGAATCACCTGGTCCGTGATACCGTGAGGGAACTGCTGACACAGCTCTTTGATCCTGAAACACACGCACACACACACACACACACACACACCAGGTAAAAATCACAGCAAACCCGTTTCTCTGTTTAAACAGAGATTTAATCGTTTTCTGTGTCTCGGCTGCTCAGGATGCACATGAAGACCAGCAGGCACAAACTTTAGCTCGGAGGCGCCATTAAAGACCAGAACATGTCCAGATGTTGGTCGTGCGACGCCAGCTGATGACTCTGATTAACGCCGATGTGACCAGCAGTCCGGCGCAGTGTGAACGCGCGTTCATGACCTGCACGCAGGCGTTGTGTGCGCGAGCAGAACCGTACAGGCGATAATTGCGACAGTATTCGTCCGGAGTCCGGTGCGCGGACAGAGCGGCCCGCCGGCCCCGCTCCTCACCTGTTCTCGACCTCCACGGGGTCCGACAGGTTCGTCTCCTTCTTCACCTTCACCTCAGCCATCTCCAGCGCTTCCTGCCTGCGCGGGGCTGTTACTAAGTTAGCATGTGAGCTAATATTGTGACTGACTGCGAGCACACGCTGGGGTCCTTCCGTTTCCCAAGCGACCGGAAGTGTCCTGAAATCCGCCTGATTAAAAAACACACCGCGGTCAGATGCCGACCTTTTGTTTGTGTTTAAGCATAGATACCCAGCCTCACTGTTTCACAGTATTTCTTTCTTTCTTTGGTTAATTTTATTTAAAAATAAATTTCTTTGACTGGTCTTTTTCAGTATTAGGCCGGCGGCCTCTGTTCCTGTGACGATGACGTACAGCAGCTTGTCCCGGTGATTTATAAAATATATCATATATAGAAATATATGACTTTAAATTTTACGGTCATTTCTCAACATTCCTCCTATTTGTGTTTTTAAATTCAATGTAAACTTTAAAGGTACGTTTCTAACTGCGCCGCACGCAGAGGTGGGCGGGTACTACAACTACAACTGGCAGCACCGCCCACCTCTGTCGTTTAGGCGTTTAAAACAAGCGTCCCCGCGGACAGAGCCCGTTGCTATGGTGACACTCCGGTAAACTCGGCAGCAGTCCCGTTGATCACCTTCATCCAGGTAAGAACACTGTCTCCGTTTTTATTTACCGGCGTGTCCCGGCCACACGCAGCTCATCGAACCAGAACAGTGGAAATAAGAGCTGCTTCAGTCAAACTAACAAAGAGACGGTAAAGACACGGGGACCAATCACAGCCTTTGTTCAGGTAAACCTTCAGGAAAACAGGAAACCTTCCCAGAAACCTGAGATGTTAACACCTCGGTCCTCTCAGAGGACTCACACCAGTAACTTGCATCTCCCACTGGGTCACGGGTGGTGGAGACGGGTGTCAGGCCTGATGTAGGTGGCTGTGAGACCCGCTGTGGTGTTTGGAGACGACAGACGGAGCAGGGGCGGATCTAAAGTTCTTAGGGTGGCATGGAAATCAGACGAGGTGGCAAAATCAAAGCCGTGTCTTTCCACAGGTGTTTCATTCTGTATTAAATGTGGTTAAATGCATCAAATGCAGTAAGTATACATGTGAATATATACATAGTCTGTTTAATTGGCTTCAGACCAAATAATGAAACATCTCAGTTACTTAAAACGTGAATTTTCAGTGTTGTATCGTCTGTATGATAAATAAGTATGTAGCCCAATGAGGATAACATCCAGAAAGCTACACGACATGTTAAAATTAAATTAATGTGGATCAGCTAGAACTTCGCACTCTTCTTATGAATGATAGATCATTTTAACAAACAGCGTCTGCTGGGTGTAGCTCAGAGGATGGCGACCAGCCTCCAGGAAAGGCTGCAGCGCCTGGCAGCGGGTCAGCACTGGCTTTGTTCTTCCAAGTGAAGGTTCTGGATCAGGACTGTTCAGTGGGGGAATCACTCCAACGTCGTTTGATTGATGCGGCCGCACTGAGCTGCTGTTTGCAAACCGCTGTAAAGGTTCAAGGTTCTTTATTTGTCACATGCATAGATATACAAGTATAACACAGTGAAATGTAACCTGACACGCTCCTCGACATGTGCAAAAATGGGGAGAGGAAGAACATTATATATATAGTATATATATTAGGTGACTGTGCAGTAGTAGCAGCCAGTAGGTGAATTCTGTACTACAGAATAAAGCTACAGGGACATCAGCACCACCTATGCGGCCCAGGTGCACGTCGACGTCCCCGCCCTGCTGCCGGACACCGCTCTGGGAGTTCGTATCCATCAGGCTCCTGCCTCGTTTCATGGACCGATGCTAGAGCGACCAACGCGTGCTGCGTGCTGGGTTCATTATCTCACCTGTTGTTATGATACGAGGTTCTCTGCTCTGTGCAGGCGGTCGGTTCTTCGGTTTGTTCTCTGTGACACAGATTCAGCTCCATGTATTTCACAGATGACACAGTATGAGGTTACTCAGCAGTAAGAGTTCAACTGTATGTTTATGTTTATGCGAGGACGTCTTACTGAGTCTGAAAGGGAACCGAACAACCGATTTATTGACTAACTGATTGATTGGCAGACGGTTGTTGTCATGGCAGCAGGGGCAGTGTCGGCTCCGCTCATCATTCCCATCATCCACCTGCAGACTCATCGAGCCAAGAACCACATCGACACGAGCACACCTGTGTCCATTCAGTCAGGTAAACACCAACCGTCTGCTCATCCACCCAGCTCCATCCAGCAGGTCATGTGACAGGTGTGTCTGTGCAGATTCTGCAGGTGTTCTGATCTTTTACACTCTGGATGGTTCAAAGCCGGGGGCGGGGCATCACGGAGCAGCAGGCAGCAGCAGGAAGTACAGCGAGCCCATCCTGCTGCCTGCAGGCCGGGTGACAGTCCGAGCGGTGGCTGTCACCAGGTGAGTGGTCACCTGACATCAGTGTGTACCGGCAGCAGGTGTTTTCAGTGTAGTTCAATAAAGTTTGTTTGTCTGCAGCGACGGCAGAGAGAGCTCCATAGTGACGAAGGTTTTCTCTGTGCATCGTTTGGACGACTCCCTGCAGGTAATCACACACCTGCCTGCTGCAGACCACATTTCCCAGCTGCCCCTGCACACACCTGATGACTCACAGAAATGCTTCCTTTACCTTCCAGCCACCGCCTGAAGGAACATCCTTTCTTGCTGAGGCCTCAGGTGTGTTCAGTTAAATTCAACTTTATTCATAATACAACATTACAACAGGTACCTCAAGTCTTACCGTACTGACAGGTAAAGACGTACAACATGACAGAGAAAACTAACCAATCAGAGGATACTGTGTGGGCAGCACTCCCCCTTAACCTTGGGCGGTGGGGGGTGAACCTGCTCTTTCTCTTCATCTGACCAATCACAGAGCTCCACACTTCCTGTTTCCTGTGTCCAGAGCCGAGGATGATGGGAAATCACTCCCTCCAGTCAGGCCCTCGTTTTCTGAACGGTCGTCATGGCTCTGAGATCGGCGCCCAGCTCGCCTCATCTCAGCGCTCCCAGCCTGCGGTTTTTAGGGAGTCAGGTGACCCGAGGCAGCTGAAGAGCACGGAGACGACACGAGCGCAGCGAGACTCCGACTTCCTGTGGTACGAGCACGCGGTACAGCCCTCCATCAGAGCCAAAAGTTTGTGGACAGCTCATCAAACATAGCCGGTGAACGTCCCAAAGAAGAAACATTTTCTTTTTAATAAACACATCCAGGTTGATTGATTTCCACTCGTTAAGACGTTGCCCAGGTGTGCAGGTGTGTCCACATACTTTTGGCTTCAGTGTAAACCAGATGAAGCAACAGTTTCTGTGCGTCCAGGTGTGCTCGCTGTCGGCATCGCCGCCCCTCCGACCCGTTCGCTCAGTTCTGCGCTCAGTGTGGAGCGGCGCTTCCTCTGCTGCCTGGTCACAGGCTGCCACCTGCTGAGGGAGGACAGGTACTGCATGCACTCACCTGTAAGAGCATCGCCACGTCCAGCTGAACACCTGACATTGAATCTGTGTGTGTGTGTGTGTGTGTGTGTGTGTGTGTGTGTGTGT